AGCCTCTCCAACGTGTCCTGGGTCGACCCGGGGGCCTCCTGCTGGCAGGACATGCCTGAAACACCTCCCCGGGGAGGCGTCCAAGAGGCATCCTGACCAGATGCCCAAACCACCACAACTGGCTCCTTTCGATCCGGAGGAGCAGCGGTTCTACTCCGAGTCCCTCCCGAATGTCCGAGCTCCTCACCCTATCGCTAAGGCTGAGCCCGGCCACCCTACGGAGGAAAATCATTTTGGCCGCTTGTTTCCACGATCTCGTTCTTTCGGTCATTACCCAAAGCTTGTGACCATAGGTGAGGATTGGGACGTAGATCGACCGGTAAATCGAGAGCCTGGCTTTCTGGCTCAGCTCCCTCTTCACCACGGCAGATCGGCTCAGCGTCCGCATCACTGCAGACGCCGAACCAATCCGCCTGTCGATCTCCTGATCCCTCCTACCCTCACTCGTGAACAAGACCCCGAGATACTTAAACTCCTCCACTTGAGGTGGGACCTCTCCCCCGACCCGGAGTTGGCAAGCCACCCTTTTCCGGTAAAGGGATTGAATGGCCCTAAACAGAAAGCCACCCACTCCATATTCCTGGAGCGTCCCCAACAGAGTGCCCCTGGGGACACGGTCATAAGCCTTCTCCAAATCCACAAAACACATGTGGATTGGTTGGGCAAACTCCCATGCCCCCTCCATCACCCTTGCAAGGGTATAGAGCTGGTCCACAGTTCCACAGCCAGGACGAAAACCACATTGCTCCTCCTCAATCTGAGATTCAACTATCGATCGGACCCTCCTCTCCAGTACCTTGGAGTAGACCTTTCCAGGGAGGCTGAGGAGAGTAATCCCCCTATAGTTGGAACACACTCTCAGGTCACCCTTCTTAAAGATGGGGACCACCACCCCGGTCTTCCACTCCACAGGAACTGCCCCCGATGACCACGCAATGTTGCAGAGACGTGTCAACCATGACAGCCCTACAACATCCATAGCCTTGAGATACCCAGGACGAACCTCATCCGCCCCCGGGGATCCATCGCTGTGTAGTTGTTTGACTACCTCAGCAACTTCTGCCCCAGAGATTGGACAGTCCATCCCCAGGTCTCCCGGCTCTGGTTCCTCCTCGGAATGTGCATAGGTGGGATTGAGGAGCTCCTCAAATTATTCCTTCCACCGTCCGACTATAGCCCCAGTTGACGTCAGCAGCTCCCCATCCCCACTGTAAACAGTGTGAGCGAGTTGCTGCCTTCCTCTCCTGAGGCGCCGGACAGTTTGCCAAAACCTCTTTGGAGCTGATCGATAGTCTTTCTCCATGGCCTCACCAAACTCCTCCCACGCCTAAGATTTTGCCTAACTGCCACTGCTGCACCCCGCTTGGCTATCCGGTACCGGTCTGCTGCCTCCGGAGACCCACAGACCAGCCACGCCCTGTAGGCCTCCTTCTTCAGCCTGACGGCTACCCGAACCTCTGGTGTCCACCAGCGGGTATGGGGGTTGCCACCACGACTGGCACCGGCCACCTTGAAACCACAGCTAGCAACAGCCGCCTCAACAATTGCAGAGTGGAACAAGGCCCACTCGGAGTCAATGTCCCCCACTGCTCTCAGGACGCAGTCAAATCTCTGCTGGAGGTGGGAGTTGAAGACCGTCTTAACAGGTTCTTCTGCCAGGCGTTCCCAGCAGACCCTCACTATGCGTTTGGGTCTGCCAGGTCTACGCGGCATCTTCCCCTGCCATCTGATCCAACTCACCACCAGGTGGTGATCAGTTGACAGCTCCGCTCCTCTCTTCACTCGGGTGTCCAAAACATACGGTCGCAGGTCAGATGATACGACTACGAAGTCTATCATCGACCTGCGACCTAGGCTGCCCTGGTACCAAGTGTACCAATGGGCATCCTTATGTTCGAACATGGTGTTCATTATGGCCAAACTGCGGCTTGCACAGAGGTCCATTAACGAAACACCACTCAAGTTCAGATCAGGCGCGCCGTTCCTCCCAATCACACCCCTCCAGGTCATGCTGTCATTGCCCACGTGAGCACTGAAGTCCCCCAGCAGGACAATGGAGTCCCCTGATGGAGCACTATCTAGCACTCTTCCCAGGGACTCCAGAAAGGGTGGGTACTCTGAACTGATATTTGGCCCATAAGCACAAACAGCAGTCAGGACCCGTTCCCCGACCCAAAGGCGCAGGGAAGCTACCCTCTCGTCCCCCGGGGTAAACTCCAACACACAGGCAGAGAGTCTTGGGGCTAACAAAAAGCCAACCCCAGCCCTCCGCCTCTCACCCGGAGCAACTCTAACAAAGGAGAGTGTCCAACCCCTCTCAAGGACTTGGGTTCCAGAGTCATTGCTATGTGTCGAGGTGAGTCCGACTATATCTAGCCGGTACCGCTCAACCTCTGCCACAAGCTCCTCTTCCTTCCCCACCAGCGAGGTGACATTCCATGTCCCAAAAAACAGTTTTCTTGTCCAGGGATCGGACCGCCAAGACTCCCGCCTTGGTCTGCCACCCAATCCGCTTTGCACCGGACCCTTCATGTTCCTCCTGCGGGTGGTGGGTCCACAGTTGGATGAGCCCATGTATCTGGTTCAGGCTGGGCCCGGCCGGGCCCCATGGGCAAAAGCCCGGCCACCAGGCGCTCGCTCACAGGCCCCAACCCCAGGCCTGGCTCCAGGGTGGGACCCCGGTAACCCTCCAGGCCGGGTACTCCGACTCTTTGTTTTAACGTCCATGAAAGATCCTGTGTAGCAATGGCCATGTCTCTAATTTTCTCTAAATGAATGAAAATGGGTATTTCCCATTGCTGCCATGTCAGCTGTGTCACATGTCTCGTCATGCCCAGACTCCAAACACAGGAAATAAGGTGGAGTTGAGGCTGGGGCTTTGAGGGTGAGAGCAAATGAACCAATGTAGCTACTAGCTAACCCTCAAAACTGGACAGAGCTCCAGGGCAGCCGACCTGCACAGCCGCCTGGCTTCTGTGCAAGGCTGCAATTGTGCTGGTTGCCTGTTGAGCTCTCATAAGGGACAGTTATAATAAAAGCAGATTCTTAGACTTCTGCATTCAGAGCCAGATACTACGGACATTTACGTGAGGTCATGCTTCGCCATGGTCAAAGGTCAGTAGGAGACCAGTTACATGTTAACTTGAAGCTAATGAAGGTTCTCAGGGACTTTTAGCAAAATAACTATATTTTTAGTTTTTAGCAACTCTAAAGTGAAGCAAAATCAGTTGCGGTGTTTCTGTAGACTCCCTCAGAGACCTCCACAGGCGACCAGCACAACTAAAGCCTTGCATGGAAGCCAGGTGGCCACATGCTCCCCTGGAGACAGGAGCATGTGGCCACCTGCGTGAAATAGCTGTTCCTGGCTGAAAAACAGGAGAGGCCAGGCGCCTGTCTTTGCAAGGATGAAGCGGCACATTTGCTTATCTCTGATCGCAGGGTCACCGCTGTTAAAGTAGTACGTCGCTGAAACTCGGCAAACCTCATTCTGCATTCGGCGATCTTGGACCGCGGTGGACCAGCGAAGCTCAAAAGCCTCTGCTAGCTAGCCTTGAACTTCTTGGGTGATCTGTTAGTGCTCTCTTTGTCTAAATAAATCCATGATTAACATATAAACACAAACAAGCATAGGACACAAATAAAGGTCAAAGTCTAAATGGCCGATCTATTAACGTGAGGCCAAGGCTGAGGCCTTCCTTGGAGCTAGCTGCTAGGTTACTGTAATTCATTATTAACAGGAAGCCCACAGAATGTAGTAAAAGTCTTCAGCTTTTCCAAAATGCTGCAGCTAGAGTTCTGATGAGTATTAAAAAGAGAGATCACATCTCTCCTGTTTTAACTTCACTATATTGGCTCCCTGTAAAATTCAGAATAGATTAGAACATTTTTTGCACATATAGAGATCTCAATAATCAAGCTCCATCATACATCAGTAATCTAATTGTTCCATATGTTCCTAACAGAGTACTTTGCTCTCAGAATGCAGGTTTACTGGTGGTTCCTATAATATCTAAAAATATGATGGGAGACAGATCTTTTAGTTTTCAGGCTCTTCTTCTGTGGAACCGGCTCTCAGGTTTATTCCGAGAGATAGACATCTTGTCTACTTCTAAGACTAGGCTTAAAACATTTTTATTTGATAGGACTTATGGGTAAATTCTGATGTTAGCCCAAGTTTGGTTGAGCAATTCACATGTAGCAGCTTGAGGATGGAAGAGTGATGATGGAACATACACATTGGATCATGCAAAGGACTGTGTCATCAACAGTAGAGGGCGACAATGTCCTCTGCTGCCTGCGGCTAAAAGGAAGTGACACCACCATCACCGGCAGTCTCTGAGGATGGCAAAAGCTACTTGCTGAAACATGTAAGGTAAATGAATAATTTTTGCTAAACTGTGTACGAAAATAACAAAAAATATAAATTATGAAAATGGATGGATGATGGATTTTAATTTTTTTACAGTTGTTTCAAAGTTGTATGTTAACAACAAAATATATGGTAAATGTAACTGCTGTTGCTGTTTATTTCTTCATTTATTTATTTTTCCCATTTGTAAGACACTGGGTTGGTTGTGTTTCCTGTAATTTTATTTTGAAAAGCTACATGAGCTGCCCTGCCAGCCACACCCTTAATTGATGAATACAAGCCAGGTGTGAGGAAACCACAGAACCTGGATGAAGTGCTGGCAAGCAGCTAGCTGAGAACGGACTGAGATTCAATTCATTGCCAAAGGAATAACTAATGAAAGGACTAAAAGGAAGACAGATGGATTCCCTTTGTGTTTTAAGCAAAACAGCCAATGAGGTATTTATTTGTCTTTATTTTGTTGCACATTATTGTATATGTTTTAATTGTAATATCCTGTATATTTAGTTTCACGGTTTAAGGGAGGTCTAAGGAAAGGAGGACAGAAGGACGTCCATTAAACCCGTAAAAGAAATCACTTGCGTCTGTGTTGCTTGGAGGGAATCACAGTAAATGTTTGGAAAATACTTACCATTTATTTTCTCACTGTCAGCTGGCTTCATCTGGATTGGGTGGTGCATCTGAACAAGGCAACAAATCATGAATAATAAAACCACATAATTTTTCAAACATAAAGTCTTAAGTACTTAAGCAGAAAAAACAAAACATTAAACTTTGTACTCAGGCAAACAGCTTGGTTTTTGTAAAAAAATATTCCCAGATAATATATTAGTAGCAACAAAGTGCAAATAGATGATGGACAGAATGACAAACATTTTACTTCTCAGTTTAAGACTGTTGTGCACATTCTTAAGCTTTTATTTTGAACAATTGTTGGATGGGATTACAGGTTAAAGCACTGACTTCTCAGTGTGCTTAGTGTCCAGTCTTCAGCGACTGAGAAATGCACCACATCACTGTCAGCTACTGTTAGACAAAAGTAATCCATGATGCAATAGTTGTGCTACGGCAGCTAAGCACAAATGCTCCTTTTGACATATGAAGTTCTTAACTACAAAATTAACAGCTGTAACAAAATGTGATGAGGGAATTAAGAGGTTTTCTACAAAAATAGGATTTTCTTTGTACACAAAACCAATATGAGGTCCCTTACATCTAAAGGACCTCATATTGCAGCAATAGCAAACAGCAAAAGCAATACTTTTTATTTAGCTTTAAAAATGTATATGCTTTATAGGTATAGAGATCTATTAATTAACATGTATTAAACCATATATAAATGTATCAATAAATCAAACTGTTTTTGATCAAAATAACTATTTGTGCAAGCGAGGCAGTCCAGAGACATTAGTTTGGAGTAATGTGGTACACATGGAAAAGGCCAATTCTCATTCCTTTGTCCCATGTCTCAAACACGAGTGATATCAGAAATGAATCTGAATCTGAATAATATTTGTTGATGTTACTAGAGATGTTTTAACATCAATGATGAAAATCAAAATGACAGACAGTTAATACATCAAAAAGACCACCAAGACTTTTTTTTACCAGTAAAGAAAAAATATTTAGCTATTGTAATTTTTTAGGGAAAAATTGAAAAATTTTGCAATTCAGATGGTTGAAATCTGTCTATTTTTTAGTTTAAATTACAGAATATTTTAAGTAAACCAGCTTATAATCACTCTTAAACTATCAGTCAATAAGTGAGATTGTACAGAAGGGAGGCTAATAGATACACCTGAGTGCTGTTAGCATATTTAACATTTTCAATAGTGTTTTAATGATCATTCAGTTTTTTTTCCAACACGTTTTTCAATTTTCTTCAGTAAAAACAGATCAATATTTTGTTTCCTGAAAATAAATCCTAGGAGAAGCAGAAAAAAATAAAAATACCCTAGACCCTACTGGAAATGGTTGGGACATAAAAATTTTAAGGCTTGAGGGATGTAATGAGGCTAAGGTGATATTCTGGACTAAATCCAAATCCTTTTTATATGTCTCAATTCACCTTTGTCATTACAACTCGCATAACAAAATTTGTGTGTGAATGTGTGTGTGAATGGATAAATGATACACTGTAGTGTGAAGCGCTTAGGAGTCCTCTGGCTCTGAAAGGCGCTATACATGTGCGGGTCATTTATCATTTATCAATTTGCTTGTTCTGTGGAGGATACATAAATACCAAAAGGCTTTCAAAATGAAAACCATACTTCTGCATCTCTAAAGTATTCTCACTCAAGCACAAACACCCCCCCCCCCACCCACCCACCCACACACACACACACACAAACACACCCACCCTTAAAAACAACTGAATATTTAAGAAATCGATGGTATTGTCACATACCCCAGGCAAGATCTTCATGTTGTGCAGCGCATTCTGTGCTTCCAGGGCAGATTTGCGGGTGTAAAATGTTATAAAACAGCAGCCTGCCAAAAAGTGACAAAGAAATAAAAGTATTAGGTGTGTTCACATTAGTAGTTTACCTTTATGAGCAGTAAGGGGCTAGAATGTTGGTGCCCTCATTGTAACGGGGTAAAAAGTTTGTACAATTATCAGTTGCAATTATTTAGAAATGTCCACCCATCCATCTATTTTCAGCCGCTTATCCGGAGTTGGGTCTCAGGAGCAGCAGCCTAAGTCAAGAGGCCAAGACTTCCCTCTTCCCAGCCACTTGGGCCAGCTCCGCTGGGGGAATTCCAAGCCAGTCCCTGGGCAGCCGAGAGACATAGTCCCTCTAATGTGTCCTGAGTCTTACTTTGGGTCTCCTCCTGGTTGGATGTGGCCGGAAAACCTCTCTAGGGAGGTATCCTGGAGGCATCCTTACCAGAGAGCCACGTCAACTGGCTCCTCTTGATGTGGAGGAGCAGCTGGTCTATTCCAAGCCCCTCCTAGAGGACAGAGCTTTTTACCCTATCTCTAAGGGAGAGCCCAGCCACCCTGTAGAAAAAACGATTTTTTTTTACCGTGTCCTGTCTAGCTGTGACGCAAACAGAATTGATGTCTGAATGCTGGTAACAAGCCTTACAGATTTACTCTCAGGTGGAGCATCAAAGCGTCTGCTTTTAATGTCACGGCTGATACTTAAAACTTTATTGTTATTGTTTTTGAATGCTTTGTAATTCCGACCAGACACGGAGTCAGAGGTGAAAGAGAAAGGAAAAGACAAAAGGTGGGGAGAAAGGGGAGAAAGGGGTGGGGGGTTCCACAAAAATGAACAATAATTAAAGCTGCAAGCAGCGTCGTTTGGCCCTCGCAGCTCCGCGCCACTCCGGCCTGGCCGGCAGCCCAGGGCACCCGGGCACATCCACGGAGCAGAAACGTTGACCACCCCGACACCAGAAACCGCTAACAGTCACCTCGTCCGCACCTCACCCTGACTCAGCATCTCCTCTGAGCCCAATATTAGATTACACATCTCACCACTAGGTGATACTCTATCTTTGCCACAGTGGTGGTGTTGTGACACAGACCAAAGTTAATGCTATTCTGACCACGTTTTTTTTACGTTATCAAATGTAAAAGTTATCTAGGGGGTGTTTTTACCAACTACAGAAAAATCCCATTGTGGTCAGCTTTGGTTAACAAAGATGGTTTTCTGTTATTTTGGCATTAATCAGATGTTTTGTGTGTAATGTAGAGCCAGAGAGCCGAAAGGGGGTGGAACTAAAGAGGTTTGAACCAACAACCACATCAATATGTTTGTTGAAGTCACGTGATGACAAAAGCCAAGTATAATGCCATTCTGACCTTGTCTTTAGAAGTTGATAGTTTGAACCCATCTAGGGGGTGCTGTGACCTTCTGCAACTAAATCCCATAGAGGTTATCTTTGGTCATCAAAGATGGTTTTCTGTTCATTTGGCATCAATCAAATATTGCATGGGTCATCTAGAGACAAAAGGCTGTAAGTAGGCGGAGTTAAAGTGATTTGAACAAGTGAGCACATACATGTGTTGATTGTAGTTGTGTGATGACTCCCACAAAGTTTGATGTAGTTTGGAGTTTTTTGCTGAAGATAAAAAAGGTTTTATTCTATCTAGGGGGCGCTGTCCCAAATTTAGGAAATATTCCATGAGGAAGTTTGTAGGGTGATAACAGTCATTTGTGTGCAGTTTGGTGTGAATTGCATCATGCCTGTGTTATTCAGGGCCTAATATCTGTCAGGGGGCGGAGCTAAAGCGATATCAACCAATTACCACAGGATTGAGTTGGTTGCCTTTGTGTGATGACACATAGCAAGTTTGGTGCAGTTACAATCTCGTCTGTACGAGCTATTACAGTTTTAAAGGTATGTAGGGGGCGCTGTGGTGATATTACACAATGTTCACCAACCGTGTGTGCCTCGTTGACTAAAGAGCATGATTGTTGGTTGCCATGTTCAGTCTCGGGCAAATTGGAGGCCGTTTGTGGAAGTTACAGTCAAACGTAAGGTCACGACGTCACGCCAGAATTCGCCATGGCATCAATGCCCCTCCCTTTCTGGAAAGATATCAGATCTGAATGGTCATCAAAGCATCATGAAGACAGTGCATGACCTTAGTGTCATGTTCACTAAATTAAAGGGGACAAATATGGGCATTTCACCCTAAAACAATAGACTTCCTGTAGTCAGGGGGCGGGGCTTAGGTGATGTCAGCTGTCCACACTGTCATTGTCTTGAGATGTGGTCAGTGATCACTCAGACAAAGTTTGATATAGATCTGATCATGCACATGGGAGTTATTAAGTCAAGTAATGTAATGGCGAAAGGTCAAAGTTTGAGGCTTAGCCACGCCCACACCTTTCAACTTTTGAAAAATCTGACGGTTGAATTTTTTCCCCTATGTCTTAAGAGTACATAGCAGAAGTTTGAAGGCAATTGGTGAAAAAGACGACAGGGCATCATTCTCCAAACAACGTGTGCAAAAACCACTAAATCGAGTACTTGGACTAAAATGGCCGACTTCCTGTACGACTTTGCACTTGGCTCCAAGAGACTTTTTTGTAGGTCCTGAGTAGTGTTGTCAAAAAAATCTAAACCTAGATATAAATAGATGCTAAAAGTGGTATCTAAATTAGATATTCCATCCCTGTGGTATCAATATTATGGACTATTATACACAGCCTTCTTCAAGTACACCGACACACACGACAGCCAGATGCCGTAAAACAGCCTCCGCCTCCCAGACAAACAGAAGAAGAAGACGCCGCATGGCTAAATTGCAATTTCCCACGCGAGTTGTCTTCGATCCAAGTTTTGTCTGCCAAATACATAAACAAAAATGTAAACAGCGAATTTGGGAGGTGCTTCACTGCCCAACTTAATTAGCATACCAAGTCCGACACGTAGTTGTATATTCGCGCATATATGCTTAAAAGAAAACTCCCTTTTATTGCAACCCGGACTTAATTTCTAGCATGCAGTACGTTTTTTTACTCACGCTGACAACTTTGGTGCTACTTGGATTCCACGGGGTATTTAGATCCATCGGCAAATCGCCATCAGTGTATATCCATATAACGGGTGCGGACGGGCACCCATGGTGCAGCCTCGAAATAAGACATTATCTGCACCAAAACATCTCTATGTCGATAGGTTTAGTTAGGAATCATTAACATGATTCCCCTGTTCGTTTGGAGCGAGTCTGGGATTTCTAGGCGTAAGTACGGTAGACTAGCCACGGCTAATCTAACCGGCGCTTTTAATGACGTCACTGCCAATCTGTTTTTATTAAGATTACCGGTAGATGTACCTTTGTCCTACTGTGGAGAAATTTGTTTTCTCCCTTTATTGACCAACAGAGTTGTTCAAAAGTACAGAACAAAACATATGGCATTACATCTTATGACAAAAATGCTACTTAAACAGAGTTTAAGCAGCAAAACATCACTCTGCAAATAATGTATACTGTATATAGTGAGACAATTCATGATTTAAAGTGTTAACTTTTGCCAGTTTTTGTATGCACTTTTAAAAGAATGCTGATACTTGAAAGGTTTAAGCACTTTACACACTTGATTCTTAACATTTAATTTTTGCAATGTAAATTGAGGAATGTTATTTTTTGAATAAACTTGTTCAATAAATTGGTGTTTTTAAATAGTATCAAAATCGAGTATCGAGTTGGTTTTTTTCTTCCAGTATCGAATCGAGTTTGAAATGTTAGTATCGTGACAACCCTAGTCCTGAGACAGTACATCAGTGTACCAAATTTCGTAATCCTCAGTCAAAGCATGGCTTGGGACTGTTAGTTTTAAAAGTCCTACGGGGTGCTTTAAGAAAATAGGCCAGGCCCACAAACTTCAGCTGTCTATTCCTCTTGGGGGTCAGACTAGGATCACTCACCAGAGATTTTGTAGCGATATCACGATAACTGAAGAAATGAGAGGCAAATGTATTTCCTTGGCGTGATGGCGATTTTTGCCATGCTCCCAAAGCCCCGTCTTTTTTCAAAACCTGCCAGTACTGGAGACAAAGTCACCTCAAGTTGTTTACTGCTATTTGCCTGGTGATTGGGTAAAAGGAGTCCAGTAGGGAGCTGTGAAAATAAAGAGTGGCGTGGCGACAGGTCAAAGTTTGAGGCTTAGCCACGTCCACACTTTTCAACTTTTGAAAAATCCAATGGTTGAATTTTTTCCCCTATGTCTTAAGAATATATAGCAGAAGTTTGAAGGAGATTGGTGAAAAGGGTGACTGAGCATCACTCTCCAAACAACGTGTGTGAAAATCACTAAATCGCGTACTTTGACCAAAATTTCCAACTTCCTGTGCGACTTCGCACTTGGCTCCAAGAGACTTTTTTGTAGGTCCTGAGACACCACATTAGTGTACCAAATTTCGTAATCCTCAGTCAAAGCATGGCTTGAGGCTGACAGTTTTAATGGTCCTAGGGGGCGCTATTTCAGAAAATAGGCCACGCCCACCGAATGTTCACATCAGATTTTTTGGGGGGCCGGACTAGGATCATTCACAAGAAGAATCATGACAATATCTTTAGAAATGACGAAATGGGAGGCAAACGTAAGGCCACGGCGGTACGCCTGACTTCGCCTCGCCGCCACAGCCCCGCCATCTGCCGAAAACTCCCATAAAGTGTCGCAAAGCAACCCCCAGTTGTCTTGAGTTACCAGCTGCAAATTTGTGGTGATTAAGTTAAATGGGGCGATTTGGGACTGTAGGAGCCTAAAAGCAGTGTTCTGTGTACGTGCATTTTGACAAGATGTTTATCAGCCCAGCATCCTGTGTACGTGCACTTTCAACATCTTGATTGTCCAGCTGCTGCGTACGTGCAGTTTCAACATCTTGTTTTTTGGTCCAGTTTATGCAACTTCCAGTAAGTCTTGGCTTACTTTGACCATATTGGGTAATAAAACAGCATCCCATCATTTCCCGAAATCACGAGGGTGGGGGCCAGAAGAGTATAACCGATGCTGCGTGTTGTAGGAGAC